AGGGGCACAGCACCCCTGGGTGCCCATTGGGGACAGGTTCCTGCTGGGGAGCTGTGACGGGAAGGGGCACAGCACCCCTGGGTGCCCATTGGGGACAGGTACCTCTGGCTCTGGAACAGCCCTGGCCTTCCTGCCCGCTGGTGCTCTTGCAGGGCCCTGGTCTGGCCTCGAGGAGCCCCCCTGGAGCCTGCAGGCCCCTCGGGTGCCTGACCTCTTTGTCTGGCCTCTGTGGGCAAAGCCGCTGCTCCGCTGGAGGGGCTGCTCTCAGGAGCTTCTGCCCTGGTCCCTCCAGGGGCTGTGCCGACGCTGTTGCTCCCCACAGTGATGACTGTTGTGCACGCCGTTCAGAGAGGGGATTCTCCTGTTGTTCATCCTGCTCTATAAACTGCTCATAGGTCTCGGTGACAGGGGAGGTAGTGACACTTGGACGCTTCTATTTAATACCCAGAATTAATGGACTATGTAAATTTGAGGATTTTGCTGGGGCTTATTGTTGTGGGTTCCCACTTGCCCATCCCTAAATAATATTGGCAACCGAGGAGGTGTGGGGGGCTGTGGTGGAGGAGCCCTGCCATTGCTGGTGGCTCGTGGCCTTGGGCTAGTTCTTTGGCCCCTCTGCTTTTGCTGTTTGTGAAATAGGAAGGCTAGTGCTCACCTTTGTGAAACACTAGGATGGCTGTGGATAAAAAAAAAAATGTATGTTGGAATTGGGAGTGATGTCTGTTATAGAGTGAGGGGGAGGAATTAAGAAAAACGACATGAAAAGGAGCAATATTTCTGTCCATGTGCACCCACGTAGGATAACCTGGGCTGTCACCTGCTTCGACAGTAAAGCAACCTGAACAGAACAATTTATGAATGTTGTTTATTTCTCAGTTTTTCTATCGAAATGACTGTAAAATTTTGCTAATGGGCATCCTTTCAATTTTATTGTATGAGGTCAACTGGAGAGGTCACTTGCCTGTAGGGGCAGTATCTTTTCTGTTGTACATGGATGGTATTCATTGTTTTCATATTTTCTCTTTTCTTGTGAATCTGAATTAACCCAAGTGCCACATAGATCTCTTTATAGAGATATTGCTCATCATGGTGGTTCCAGCCTGATTTAGCAGAATTCCTCTGTTTTCCCCCAATAGTTCATACTTCAGGAAAATAATTGTCTTGCAGTATGTCTCCAGTCCTTAAAGAACAAACATAATTACCATTTCTCATTGTCATAAAATGTGTACCTTTCTGTGTGGATAGGCTTTCTAAGAAATCAGGGTGTTGTCCAGTGTAATAACTAGGCAGTTTATGTACAGTGAGGTATTAACAGGCATTAGAGAGGAGAGAGATCCAGGAGTCATGTGCAGTGACACCATTTCTGAAAAACTGGGTGCTGTCAAAAGGTCCCTGAAGAGTCAGAACCCTTAAAGCAGGGGGAACCTTTGGCTTTTTGATGGAATGTGGAGCCAGGTAACCCCATGACAGTTCCTGTGTAATCAGGACCTTAGTCCATTGTATGATGTTGGTGTTTCTAGACAGTCCAGTGTCTCTGGCTCCTGGACTGTTTTCAAACAAGGATCTGTTTGAAATAATGTTTTTTGATTGTGTTAGTAACACCTGAGAAACTGAAGTTTCATGTAGCTAGTATCCAGATTTAGGGGGGGTGTTGGCTGTTCAATCAGAGCTGAAGTTGATTACAAGAGGAGGATTGGGAGTGGTGAACTATGTATTTAATTTTAACTTTTTTTTTTTCAGTTCATCCAAGTGCTTTAGATTTAATTGTGGTTATCTGGTTATCATCTCCTTTCAAGCAACCTTGCAAGAATGGACTAGGCTGTAGGAACATGACTGAGGGGAACATCTTGCCTTTTTTGCAGAAGAGTTTTTTGATCAATTTGTGAGAAAATAGATGAGTGGGGTCTTTCCAGATTCCCTGGTCTAGAGCTGGTCCCTTCCATTTTTCCAAAGACTATTTTGTCCTTTTTTAGTTGCCTTGTGGATGAAGAAGCTGGTTTGAAGTTTCAAACTACTGTTTTAAGATCCAAATGAGGGTTCTCCATGTCTTCCTTACTTCCTGCAAAAGATTTGTTTAACTTGGGCCTCTGAAGGATGCTCCCAGCGCCTGGATGTCTTGGTTTGCAGCAGCATTAACTCCAACTAAGGTGAATGCTTTTACTTCTTCCTACAGGAATTAGAGGTATTTCAGAAGAGACAACCACTGGAGTTCACAACCTGTACAAGATGAAGGCCAACGGGACCCTGAAAGTGCCAGCTATTAATGTTAATGATTCTGTCACCAAGGTAATGTTATGTTCTGCTGTCTGACCGGTTTGGCTTTGGGATGTTGTCATTCCCACGCACGTATTCCTTCTGTTGCTGAGCTGTTCTTGACCTGGTACTGGACAGATGTTCATCACACCCTTGAAGTGAGCCTATGATGTCTCTAATGGGACATGCCATTGGAAATAGCCTGTTTTCAGAACATCAAGGGCTTTTTTTTGTATGTAAGGACACGCATTCTTCTGCGTTGTAATAATGTGAAAACACCTTTGGAAATCATGGCTCTTGGGGTACAGTCAGTTCCTGTGGCAAGAGGCATGTCCTCACTCTGAGTAGCCTAAAGCCCACAGGCAGGTGGCAGGTACCAGCTGGAAAAGAGGGTGACCTACGTGAGCTTGTGGCTGGTAAAGCTCAGTTGATCTGACAAGGTGTCTCTGCAAGCAGCAGTTGCAAAGGATAGGGTAGGAGGTATTTATCCCTTGCCTGGCTATATTACTGTTTCCTGAGACAAATCTGGGTGTATTGAGGGGGGAATGGTGTTTAAAGGGTGCTGGTGCTTTTTGGATGCAGGTGAGTTATAGTGGGAATTTCAGGTGTACTTATGCATCTAGATGTTTTTTTTTAAATCTAGTTGCTAAATCTATTTCAAGTTACCATACTAACATGATCCTGTCGGGCATGGCAGTTTTCACTGTTTGGCCTGCTTTCTCTGCAGTTTGCTATCTGAAGAGTATCTCCTTTCTGCTCACAGAGATGCATCTGGCATTTTTATTTCATGGCTAGTTGGCTGGAATCCTGTTGATCTTGGAAGAAGCTTGTTTCTCTGCATCCTTTTCACCTAGATTTGTGCCTCCTGCATAATAACTGTTGATAATGTTTAGTAGATTTGGAAATTCAGATGTTTTTAAATAAAGCCTCCTGAGTGGATTTGGGTTGAGCTCACTTTATTCTGGGGCCAAACAAGTGATTATTTTCAAGTACTGTTTGGTATTTATGTAGTAAAAATTTTGTACTAACCACAGTTACAAATCTGCAGGAAGACATGCAGCCGAGCTAACAAATTCTGCTCTCTTGGTTTGATATTTTTCCCTTGGTGCTAGGTTCCTATACTAGTATTTGGAGAGAGAAGGTAGGCAGTATCCAGGTCTGTTCTTCCTTCCTGCCACTCGAGTGTATTTTTGAGTGGGACAGATGTCTGCACCTGGCACTCTGCTACCTTGCCTGCATGGGAATGCGTGGGCACCTGGAAGGCTTTGGTTGCAATTGGGGGATGTGGTGGCGAGGAATCAAATCTGACTGTGTAGTTTTCTTCCATAAGAAAGCTTATACTGCAAGGAAAAATCTGCTGGAGGACTCTAAAAGAGGATTACCAACTGGCATTAGCTTTGGAATATTTGAAGGATTGGTAACACATTTTCTGAAATATTAATGGCAAATGTGCCTGTGACAAGACTTAACAGGCTCTAAGTCAGGAACTTCTGGATCTGAAGTATAACTTATTACACATCAGTCCTCAAACAGCTTCTGAGGCTGGGAGCGATATGTCACTTGCGCAGATAATGCATTGGAGTCATAGCTGCAACATTTTTATACATGGACTTTGCATTTTTTTATTATAAAAATTTAACAGTTGTAAGCTGTAGACTGGAAACCAAACTGACATCACCGTACACATGCTAGATGGCACCAGCCAGAGCTGCAAGGTGCCCCTACTCACAGCCAGGTATGCAGCTGTAAGATTGCTTGTAGCAGACAGAGCCCTACCTGTGTTCAGTGAAAGCAGGAA